AATTAACCTTGTTTAGTACAAAGACATATAAAAAAACCCGCTAATGGTAAATATAAAAAGGTACATATCCAAAGAATCATGTCACAAGCCAAAAGGAGATTTTGGTTAGTCTCTTTCTGTCAAAAAGAGTTCCCAACATTGGCCACATGTTTCTGGAATGGCGAGCAAGGTCTCACTCAAGGACCATAATGAAATCAAAGCAGCAACGCTGTGCTGAAATTGAGCTCTCCTCATCACATATTTTCCAGATACCAACACGATTAAAATTGGTGACTTTTCTTCTTTCCTTAAATTTTTCTTGAATAATAGAAATCATTTCTTGGTTGTTTTGTTTAGATGTTTGTTTTGTTACATCTAATTATAAGATATGTAAGAGGGATAACCTTATTTTATTTTTAAATTTTTTTTATTTAATTGAAAATTCAAAATTAAAATTTTTAATTTGAAATTTCTAATTGTTTTACATGATTGTTTAAAATAACATCAAATTCGACGTTCTGTCTTCTCTTTTCTTTTTCTTTTTTCTTTTCTTTTTTTTTGCGAAAATTTGTTTTCTCCTGTTTTCCTGAGAACCAAACAGATGTCAATTAAATAAAAAAAAATTCAAATGATATAAAACCAAAGCAGAGTCAAGGATGCGTACTTGTCAACATTCTGTTTGAATTTCACTTCGTCCAGATACTTACTGAGCATGAAAAGGGAAAATATATATATATATATATCTATCTTTTTCCTTAGAGAAGTCATTATATTAAAAAATATATATATATATAAAAAAAAAAGGCCAAAAAGCTCAAATTGTCCTATCGACCAATTACCGAATCACAGTATCAGCAATAAAAAATTTATGGTGTTTCTTAGCTCTTTCGATCTTCATCCTGAATCGAGTAGTTTGAGCCGAGGAATTATCTTTTTTTCCAAGGTATAGAAGATAGCCTAGCAGGAAAAAGAAGAAAAGAGGTAAAGTTGTTGAGAGAAAGTATCAAGGTCGAGATTGAGGTAGTTGCAATGTATGTCTTATTCTAGTTTGATTGTCTTCATATTCTGTTATCAATTGTTTGTTGCTGTTCTTTTTCATTGAACAATGCCAATGAATTGAATCAGATGACAAAAACTCTCAAGGATGAAGGTTGAAGTAGAGAAGAAAAACCAGCAGAAGAGTGTCATGAAAAATGATGTAGCAGAAAAGAGAGCTGCTACAGAACTGATGGAAACAATGCCTTAACAAAATGAAGGGAAAAGTTCAATGTCTCGAAAAACATTTTGCAGATAACTCGACACTGATCTTATATTGCAAATTTAGTGGAGTTCACAAAGGCCATTGACCTTGGTGTCAAGGGCCAGGGGTTGAATCCCACCTTAACTATAGAAGGTTAATAAAAGAGGAAGAAAGAAACTGCCACTATTGAGTTGCTTCTGCTGGCTTTATGTAGTGAATAGTCTCTCTTTGAATGCAAAAATCCTGGTTCTTGTAATCTGCATTCTGTTTCAAATTTGTTAATGGTATTGATGACAAAACATCTTAAATGGCATAAACTATTTCAGTACTGTATATTCATTTGGGATAGAATTTGGATTCAATAATTTGGATGCCAATTTTTGCTGTAATTCTCAGCTACCACACCTAGTGCCTAAATGGTATAACTTCGCACACAAAAAATGGAGAACAGTGCAATTCATTATCTATGTATTAAAGCCAATGGCTTTATATAAAACCTGCATCTCTAAATGCTAGCGTTATCCATCCAAATAGAAAAAACGGATGCTATACATCTCAAACATTTACCACCCCTGCACCTCTTACAGAGATGACAATGAATTCATTGGCATCAAAAACTGGCTGGACAAAACAAGATATTTGACACTACTAATTCATTATTCAAAGGAAAGAAAAGAAATGCTCTAGCCAAATTACTGCAGATCAAGCCTGTAATGCCAGGAGTCCTTAATCACCCTCCTAGTGCTATCAAGGTCTTTATACAGCTATATTAAATTTGCCCTCCCTTTGGTGATGCTGATAACTGTTTCCTCTTTATGCAAAAACATTGAACCAAATCCTAGACTATTGATTAATTGACACTGGGCTAAAATTTAATGGTTAAGTAGAAGAGAAAAGAACATTCTATATAGCAGATGAAATCCTTTATAACTGATTGCAGGGTGTCTTGTGAACAAATTCAAAGCATAAATAGTTTGTGCAGCTTAGCCACTTCCGGTTATCATTTTCCCAAGAAAACGCATGCATTTGGAATTGGTTGAGGAATGAAGAATACTTAAAAAAGAAATCATTAAATGCCAGATACCAAAATAACATGTTCATTCATTTTATGAATATTCCATAGATCTTTAGATTAACAATCTGCCAAAACAGTCTAACTCCTGACAAAAATAGTAAACATTACATTGTCAGATACTACTACCAGCCTAGCTCTCTTCACCAGATTAACTTCTAGGGCTTCGTTTGCAATATCTTTTAATCAGTTGTCTCATCTAACACAGAACATGGATGAAACAGTACTTATATCACAACAATAACTATGCCAGAAATTCCAAAACGAAACATATCCAATGCAAGAAGTTGATTAAGGGGTCTCAGTGCTTTGCAGATTTTAGAATCGATCTAGCATTACTTCATCACAGGACATGGTAATCTAGGAAAAGGGTCTTCTATCTAGAAATCAGAAAAGGGTCGTGGAATAGGGTCATCTAGAATTCAGAAAGGGTCTAATTACCCAATTTGCATGCAAAGAGATCTTGGAATAGCAATTCCATTAAAACCAAACATGCAAGACAGAGCAGAGGGACAAGAAATGTGTTGTTTTTGCATCAATCATGAACCAGATTTAAGCCAGATTGCTGAAGAAGTGACAATACTTACCACAAGACAGCATGTCTAAATGCTAGCATTATCCATCCAACTAGAAAAAAGGAAAGGATGCTTCATATCTCAAACATTTACCTCTCCTGCACCTCTTGCAGAGATGACAATGAATTCATTGGCATCAAAAGCTGGCTGGACAAAACAAGGTGTTCGACACTACTACTTCATTATTCAAAAGAAAGAGAAAAGCTCCAGCCTAATTACTGCAAATCAAGCCTGCAATGCTAGAAGTTTTATATCAAACTAGTTCTATCTAGATCTTTACACGGCTATATTAAATTTGCCATTTGTCTCGCCCTCCCTTTGGTGATAACTGTTTCCTTTTTATGCAAACCATATAGCTAAGTGTTAAACCAAATCCTAGTCTCTTGATCAAATGAAACAAGGTTAACAAAGAAATAATGGTAAGCAGAAGAGAAAAAGAGCCTTCTACATGGCATATGGAATCTTTTGTAACCGATTGCAGTGTGTCCTGTGAACAAATTCAAGGATAACAGTTCATGCAGTTTATCAACATTGGATATCAAATTCTGAGGCAACACAGGGATTTGGATTTGGGTGACGAATGAAGAACACTTAAAACAAGGACTCATTAAATATCAGATACCAAAACAACAAGTTCATTCATTTTTTGCATATTATATAGATCTTTTTTAATCATCAAGCTGCCAAACTGGTCTAACATCTGTCAAAAATGGTAAATATCACATCGTCAGATGCCACTAGATTCTTGACCAGGTTAACATCTAGGCCTTCAATTGCAATGTCTTTTGTCATGTTGTCTCAACTAACAGACAAGATGGATGAAACAGCAATATCTATGGCAGATATTCCAAAAAGAAACACATCCAATGCAAGAAATTAAAAAAGGTGATTCAGTGCTTTGCGGCATTTAGAATCAATCTAGCATCACTTTATCAATTGACGGGGATAATCTAAAATAAGCAGCAATCTGATCACACTGAAGTCATGAAGAAGAAAATTGAAACAAGGAAGTAAAGTATGTCAACAAATATCATATGTCCAATTAAAGATGTATAAGAAATGCTGAGAGGCATTGATCATTGTATTTCCCCATTTTCACTCAAGAGTCAAGACTGGCAACTGCATTCATGAAATGAAAGCTTGTAGTCCCACGTCCATCTCAGCCAACAACTCACTGAGCAAGTAAAAGAAACAAGAAATATCACTTGCTAAACTGAAACAAGAAAATTAATATATAAAATGTATGAATAATGGAATGAAAAATGTTCTAATGAAGCCAACCTCAAAGAGCGCTTAAGAAGTTCAGCTCTGGTAAAGTCACCCTGTTCTTCTGCATCAGAAAGTTTAAGTGTAAGATCAATGCAACGTTTGCCGAATGCATCTTCATTGTTGTGTAGCTCAATCAACCTTGTCCGTTCAGCTAACACATCCTCCTTTTTGCCGAGCTCAATCAACCTTCTCTGTTCAGCTAAAGTGTTTGCTCTCTCTTCTGCCAATCCCTTGTTCTTCTCCACACTCTCTTTTTCACGACTCAGTTCAGCTCTTTGCTTTGACACCCATTTTTTCATTTTCTGAATTGTTTAATTTTAGTCAGGCACACAGAAAATTGAAAGTAAAAATCCAAGTTTATTGAAGACTGAAAAGAGTCTAGCTTGAATATTGATCATGTTCTTTTTCCTGTTCCCTTCTATGTGTCAGGCATCCAAGTGGGAGTTCTAATGAAAACACAATCAAGGGTAGCAATCAAGCCAATCAATATCCAAAGATTGAAGAAGTTCAAAGTCATAAGCACAAGGCAAGAATCAAAGAGATCAAAATCAAAGGAGAAACAGTGGAAGTCAGCAGCAGTAAAGAAAGTAATTTTGCTGCTAAAAATCCCTTATCCCACCCCACTCACATGTCATGCTACTCGAACTCAATTTTCATGCAATTGATCCTGAATATGTACTGAATTGAAATCAAACACGCATGACCGACCACAGACTAAAGGAAAAGTGTTGTTTTTTCTCATCGGTCATGAACAAGATTCAAGTCAGATTAGGGGAAAAAATGGGAATACGCACCTGAAGTCGCCTCAGCTGGGTTTCTGCTCTTTGATGAAAATCAGGAGTAGAAACATGAAAATCAGTAAAGATCTACATCAGAGCTTGAAGAACAATAAAAGGAAATGGATTCTACAATGTTAAGAAAGAAAGAAGAAATATACAGAAGAAGGAAAGGAGAAGAAGGGCTCACCTGAAACAGGGAGAGGAAGGAGGCGTGGGCGAAAGAGCCCTTGCCTGAAACAGAAAGAGGAAGAAATGGGAAAACGCACCCGATGTCGCCTCAGCTGAGATTTCCCAGAACAGTTCTTCTTCCTTATCGGAGCCATGGTTTCTGCTCTTCTATGGAAATCTGAAGTAGAAACAAGAAATAAAAACACATCAAATTTTGAATCGGTACACGAATTCAGCTTAAGAACATCAAATTGGAAATGGATTCTTCAATGATAAAAAGGAAAAAGAAAGAAGGAAAGGCACAGAGAAAGGGGGTTGGAAGAAGGAGCGCACGCCAGAAGCAGAGAGGAAGGACAATAAAAGGAAAATCAGGAGTAGAAACAGGAAAATCGGTAAAGATCTACATCAGAGCATGAAGAACAGTAAAAGGAAATGGATTCTACAATGTTAAGAAAGAAGGAAGAAATATACAGGAGGAGGAAAGGAGAAGAAGGGCCCACCTGAAACAGGGAGAGGAAGGAGGCGTGGGAGAAAGAGCCCTTTCCTGAAACAGAAAGAGGAAGACATGGGAAAACGCACCCGGCGATGCCTGAGCTGAGATCTCCCAGAACAGTTCTTCTTCCTCATCGGAGCCATGGCTTCTGCTCTTCTATGAAAATCTGAAGTAGAAACAAGAAATAAAAACACATCAAATTTTGAATCAGTACACGAATTCAGCTTGAAGAACATCAAATTGGAAATGGATTCTACAATGATTAAAAGGAAAAAGAAAGAACGACAGGTACAGTGGGAGGGACTTGGAAGAAGGAGCGCACGCCAGAAGCAGAGGGGAAGAAGGAGTTAGAGAGAGAGAGAGTACCGTTGTTTTTCTTCTTCTCTTTTTTTGTGCTACTAACGAGTAGAGGAGTGATTTCAATATTTTTTGTTCTTCCGGGACCTGATTGGCGTCCACGTGGAGATTTTCACGAGCTCTGCCGCGCGCAAGGGAATGGTAAATTAAAAACGCGCGAGCTTCAACCGATATACGCTGCGATACAGGTCTTGGAATTTCATGTTTAATTCAGTATTGTAGTAAATCCACAACAGAAATCTCTTTTTCAGTGTCCAGACTCTGAATCCATGTAAATATTTTTAT